TTATTTCTAAGGTTTGGAAGAGGAGAGAGGAGGCTTGCTGGCCATCCTGATGCCAGAAGTCCCCCATGAAACCAATCTTCTATGGAATTCCAAACGGAGCTCTTCAAGGCTTGGTCTCCCACACACTCACACCCTCCTTGCCCTTAATGAGAACCGGGGGTGAATGACTACAGGGAAAAGAGGAGGAGGGACTGAACTAATGAGGCAGTGGTCTCCACAGAAAAGTACACACACCCCAGGGGTGCACCAGGCCATTATCCACCGGGATCTGCCACAAGATGCCATTAGAACTTCTATTTATTTTTACCTAAAAGTCAGAAAACAATGAGCTTTACTAATTGTTATGGGTTGAATGATGTTGCTCCCAAAAAAAAGATAACCCCGAGCACCTCAGAATGTGACCTTATTTGGAGAGAGGGTCTTTACAGAGCTAATCAGTTAAAATAAAGTTATTAAGGTAGGCCTTAATCCAGTAAGACTGGTGCCCTTACAGAAAGGAGAAATTTGGACACACACACACACACACACACACACACACACACACACACACACGGTGATGTGAAGACGAAGACAGATCAGGGTGATGAGTCTACAAGCCAACCAACACCAACCATTGCCAGAAACCACCAGAAGCTAGGAGAGAGGCCAGGAACAGACTCTCCTGCACAGCCTCCAGGAAGAACCAACCATCATGGCACCTTAGTTTCAAACTTCCAGCCTCCAGAATTGTGACATAATCAACTTCTGTTGCTCAAGCCATTCAATTTGTGGCACTTTGTTACAGCAGCTCCAGCAAGCTAATATTCCAATATTTAACATAAAGGTGCTCATAGGTCTCTGACTTAGTCCCTCACAGGCAGGATCTGAGGCCTCTTGAGGGAGGAGCCAGCTTTCGGGCAGAGCGACAAGACCAAGAACACTCAGCCTGCACCCAGGTAAGAGGATTTATAGATCAGATCATCTCATCGTGATGTGATCAGTTCCCACAAGATGAATGGGTAGATTTAGGATTACTACCAAAAGTCTTGCCTGGAAATAATGTTAAGTATAGTTGACTCGTCCCTTATAGGTGGGCCCCCACACCCACAGCACGATTAAAACTTGAGGAGCTGATCAGATCTGGCCAGAAATCATTCCGAATTAACAAGAAAACTACTTCTAATAGGTAGTTATATCCCTTTTTGTTAACAATGAACCTCAAATCTAGATTCCTAGGCCTCGAGGCAGTGACTAGCAGTAATCAGAAGCCACCACAATTAACAACACTCAAAAACATTGTTTTTGTCATCACGTTCCTCCTTTTAACCTCAACTTTATGTTTCTTTTATAATTTATATAATGTGCAGTGTATAAGTAAACAGATGGGCAATATGTACCCCCCACCAACCTCTTACTAAATGGGCACGTAATCAGAAAAGTTTAGAAACCACTGATTTAGGGCAAGGGCTGTAGATAGACATGGGACAATACCCAAAACAGAGGTGCTGGTGCCCCGACAACTGATCCTCCAGCCAGAAGCAGATGTTGTGCAGACATCAGAGGTGTCCGGAACCAGGAAATGCCCCAGGGATGAGTGGTCTGGTTCCCCAGATCAGGGAAAGGACTCGGCTTCCTTGGCAAGAGGGCCAACACCGGCTCCCAGGGAGAGACACACTGTGGCCAGAGCTGGAGAGAACTTCCCCATGTGCACAGACATGCCACACAGCCACACTGACCCGCGCGCGGATGGAAAGAAGAAGGGGCCAGTTCTCAACTTTTGTAAAGTCATGAAGCTTTCCACTGGGAAGCGAACTTGGCAAGATGGCTTCCCTGTTGCCGTGAAGGGGAAAAATCCTCAAATATCAGAAAGGGGCAAATGAAAGTGATCTCCCTTTTTTTTTTTAAGTTGTATTTATTTATTTTGAGAGATCCAGACACAGTGTGAGTTCGGGAGGGGCAGAAAGAGTTGGAATCCCAAGCAGGCTCTGCACCACCAGGGCAGAGCCAGATACACGGGGCTGGAACTCATGAACCTGTGAGATCATGACCTCCGCTGAAACCGAGGATCGGATGCTTAACCGACTGAGCCACCCAGGCGTCTCAAAAGTGACCTTTTAATGTATTTCAGGGTCAGTGAGGAGACATTCTTCTTTTTTTCTTAAGTTTCTTTACTTATTTTTGAAAGAGAAGAGACAGCACAAGTAGGGGAGGGGCAGAGAGAGAGAGAGAAGGAGAGTGAGAATCCCAAGTAGAGGATTAATGTCAGCACTAACTTGGATGCAGGGCTTGAACCCACGAACCATGAGATCATGACCTAAGCGGATACTTAACCAACTGAGCCATGCAAGTGTCCCGAGAAGAACATCCCTGAGCAAGTATGGGCCTCCGAAGCTCAGCCAGTCGATCCACCTGGACCACAAGAGGCTGGAGGCCAGCGAGCAGGAGGGGCAGGCTCCTGTGAGGCCAGGGTGGACAAAAATGTACCCAGATGAGAGGCTCCTTCATGCCTCAGCTGTTCCTGAAGTAGCAAGTGCTTAGATTTGCTCTGCCAAATCTGGAGGTAGCCTGAATCAGGCGACCTTTGCCAACCTCTCCTGTTGCTTGGCCATGTTTGAGTGTGAGAGAGTGACGATGGTATCTGCTGCTCCCCTGACCATTGCTAAAGGCTTGAGATGAGGCTTTCCTCAGGCAGCTTCTCCTTTGCCCTCAGGAGGGGGTCTCATGAGCCTCAGATGCACCTGGTTCCACCTGGTGCTTCCATGGCCGGCCCTGACACAGCAGCTCCCAGAGATGGGACCGCAGGCCTTATGTACCTGCCTTCTCCTTCAGGCCCAGCCTTGTCTGGGCTGACTTTGAAAGAAATATTTATACTAAAGGGCTGAAGCTGAGGGAAGATTTCACCACCTCTTATCTCTCGTAGTTTAGAAAAACAACCAACATTTCATTGACAAGTGACCCTGTGGCGCCTGTGTTTGTGGCTCGTTTCTCTGGGGAGCCGCCTCTTCCCAGAGCCCTGTCTCGGTTTACATAGCTCTGCTCACTTCCTCTCAGACTCCCCAGGGAAAACAAGATTCTCATGGACATGCCACGTCTCTGGTAAGGTTCCCTGAGCATTGTGAGTGCTCAAAATGGGAGACTGGCATTGCTCCATGTTCTATCTATGGGACGGTAGCTTCCAAGCCTAGACCTCCAGCCAAACATCTTGAGTCTCTCAGCTTTGAGGAACTATGGACTCTTGTACCCATCCAGTGCCCACTACCCCACAAAGTCATTCAGTGCCTCGGCCCAGAGCGACGTGCTTAGCTTTGTTCACCCCTGTCCCCAACTCTATGTAGTCTCTTCTCTCCACTGCCCCTGGGCTGCCCATGCACTCTCCAGAAGACTACAGAGCAAAGACTCTCCAGCCCCACACCCCACCAGTGTGCCTCCCTTTCAGGCCATGGCAAAGTTGTTAGGCTCCAGCACTCCTCCTTCTCCAAGGAACCAAACATAGACCTAGAGTAGAAATCTCTGTGCAAACGTGCCATCCTCCCCATACCCTCCGCCATCTTCCTCCCACCCTATACCCTCAGCCATTTCTTCAACTCTTGGCTTAACTTGGTGACTCTCAACCCTACCCATGCATCAGAATCCCTTGAGGGGATTTCTTTCTTTTCTTTTCTTTTTTAAAATTTTATTTTTAAGTAATCTCTACATCCAACATGGGGCTTGAACTTATAACCCCAAGATCAAGAATTGAATGCTCTACCAACTGAGCCAGCCAGGTGCCCCTCGTTTGAGAAGACTTCTTAAAGGACACTGCTACCCAGACAGGCCTAATTACCCAAATTTGCGAGGTCTGGTGCAAAATGCATTTGCAGGGCACCCCGTTCAAAAATGATTAAGAATATCAAGATTGCCTTAAACTAAGAATGGGGCCCTACTGAACACAGGGACCAGTAGGACTCAAGCCTAGGAAGCCAGATCTGTGCCCAGGCACTTTCCCTAAATATATAGATTTAATTAGCCTGGGTGGGACCCTGGAATCTGCATTTTAAAAGCTTCCCAGGAGGTGCTAAGGTGACTAAGCTGGCTGCTGATGGCTGACCCAGAGATACTGCTTCTGTTGAAGGCTTCCCAAATGGAAACTGTTTACTCTCATGCTCTTGACATTGGGTCTAGGAGTTGGCCCCACTTTGAGCTGGCTCTGCATTGTCACTTCCAGAACACTTCTTTCCTGGGTTAGCAAATTAGCCGCTCAACTGAGGCTAAGGTCATTCAGGTCTTATCCTTGCCCTAGTCTAGGTCATTTCTGCACTTTGCTTGGTGCCTTTCCTCATCCAACCAACAATTAGCAAATGGTTCACAACTTTCTCCACCCCCATTCATGTCACTGCTTTAGAATCCTTATGGCTGGCCCAGCCATGATCTTGGCCCCTTGGCTCCTTGTCCTCTGATCTGCAGCAACTTCTTCCTTCCTCCTTCTCAGCCCCCACTCCCATGCCTATCTGGGCCTGACTGACACTATGGGCTCCTCTTCCTCAGAATCTTGACCCCAAGTGCTCTCACTCTCTGACTGCAGCCTTCTATCCTAACTTTCCCCTCAATTCCATATCCCCACTACATCTGTTACTCAACTCCATTGTGGATGTTGGACCAGTGAAGTCCAGGTGTTCCTCCAGGTGTTCCTTATCCACGGTTTTCAGTCTCTTCAGCTTCCATTCTCTCACTCTTCCAAATACTAGACATTCTCTTCCTCCTCTGTCCTCACATCCCACCCACCTAGCAAAATTCCAACCCTGAATGAACATCCATCTTCCCCACACCTGCCCCCAGGCCAGCAGAGCACCGCTGGAGGCAAATCCCACAGCTGCATGGACCACCTTGCATTCTATTGCACTGAGAAAAGAGAACCAATTGTCCAACATGCATTCCTGAATTTGCAACCAACTCTCCATCCTCCTGCCGAGGGCCAGTTCCTTCACAGATGCTCTTTGTCTTCCTTGCCTCCCATCTTCCCGGGAGCTGTTTGCAGCAATTACCTTCTCGCTAACCTGTTTCTTCCATCTCTTCTTTGTTCTGGAACCTTCCCATCAGTGGGTAAATGCCCTGCATTCTGCAGATTTTCTAAAAAAAAAAAAAGGGAAAAAAGGGAGAAAAAGAAAAGCTGAGAAGGGAGGGGAGGAGAGAAGAGGAGAGGGAAGGAGAGGAGAGAAGTCTCCTCATCTCCCTCCAGCCCCTACCCTCTTGCTCTTCCTTTCATGGCCACACTTTCTGAGTGTGTTGTCTCTCTATCACCCTCTCATTTCCCCCTCCCTCCCTCCCCTTGGATTTCATCCCACCAATTCGATGAAACAGCCTTTGATAAGGCCACCAATTACTTCCATTTTAAACAGAGTGGCCATGTTGCACCTCTTCTTCCTTGACCTCTCAGCCTCACTGGAACTCCCTCCTTCCTCAAATAGACTCACCCACTGGCTCCTCCACACCACTTTCCTTTCTTAGTTCTCTGGCTTCCTCTCCTGACTCCCCTTAGGGGTCCTTCCCCCTCTATATAACTACTATATATTGAACTTCTTTAAGGCTCCATTCTAGGCCCTCTTATTCCTCCCTCTACTCTCTATTCCTGGATAATCTCATCTATTTTCAACACTGCAAATATCATGTAAATGTCGATTCATTTTATCTGCAGAGACGTGAAATATAAGTGCCCATTTCTCTCACATTATATAAGCATCCTGGGCTGATACAGTAACGCTATGGTTTGGGGCTCCATCTGTCTGGTTCCTCTGCCACTCCCAATGCATTGCATTCATCTTCATAGTCCCAGATAACTCCATGCCTATATTCCAGCTTTCAGGAGGAGGAAAAGTAGCAGAGAGCAGACAGGCCCCTTCTTTAAAGATACTACCCAGAAGTTGGAGGCATCACTTCTACAAACATCTCATTAGCCATAACTTCAACAGCTGGCCACACCTAGCTCCAAGGAAAACTGGGAGCTGTAGGCTTTATTCTGGGTGGTCGCATGCCCCTTAAATTTCTCTTGGCATGTAAGAAAGGGAAAACCAATACTCAGAGAAAACTAGCAGAATTGGCCGTAGGCACCAGCTAGATTTGCCAATTCTTTATTTTGTCAAATAAGGACATTAAAAAAAAAAAAACAAACCCAACTACCACCTATTGCCATCACTTCATAAAAGAAAGGACATTCTTAATACCAAAATTGGAGAAGACATAATCTCAAAATAGAGAAAAGTCTTTTAGGTTAAATGACTTTGGATTTAGAGAAGACAACACTGTATCATCCTCACTGTTCTTATTTCCCTTGAAACTGGCACAAGCATCCATCTTCTCGCCTGAACTGGAAACCATGACTGAGGCATGGCTGTTAGAGCATTGTCAGTATCATCTTTATTTCCCTACACCATCCTGGTGTAGGCGGATGGCCATGATAGCTCCCACCTGGTAGTAGTACAGAAATCCCAGCATCCGTCCCCTCAAGTCCCTTCCCCTTTCCAAATGCCCAAACAGAATGGCCATGTTGCACTTCTTCTTCCTTGACCTCTCAGCATCACTGGAACTCCCTCCTTCCTCAAATAGACTCACCCACTGGCTCCTCCACACCACTTTCCTTTCCCAGTTCTCTGGCTTCCCCTCCTGACTCCTCTTAGGGGTCCTTCCCCCACTGCTGTGGCTGCAAGACCTAATCCCATAGCCAGACCTCAGGGGTCTCTGGAAAGCTTGGTCACATCACTGTTGCCATTCCCCAAGAGGGGAATTTCCCCAGCGGGGACAACAACATCCCCTTTTGACCCATCTTGAAAAGTCACGCCTTTCCTAACAGCAGTCCCTCTCTCTCCCCACCTTCCCTTCCATGTAGAACAAGTCCAGGAGACCACGCCAGAGGGCCTGTAAAGGATGTTGAGCAGTGTCTCATCTACCAGTAGCCACATCTATCACAGAAGGACTCAGTGTTTTGTTTTGATTTACTTTCAGGTGAGTCCCTCCCCAGACCTCTGCTTTACTCTTTGGTCAAGAGAGCCACCTTCACCCCTGGACTCCTCAAAGTTTCTCTAGGAGGCTTGCAGGCAGACAGTCCTTCAGATCAGGTCATGGAATAGAAGTGAAGCTAAAGGATGAGAACTACCCCCTGGCTCAGGGCAGTTAAGAAGGGATGCTCTACGCCCCCTTTCTCTTCCTTCATTTGCAGGGTATATTTTGGGGCATTGGGGGAGGTTTTCGGCTGTGTTGTTAGAAAAGAAGCCTTGGGTGAGTTAGTTTTTGGACTTTTCTTGTGTTCTGCCTTTTGAACAGAAAATGTTTTGGGGCACCTGGGTGGCTCAGTCAGTTAGGTGTCTGACTCTCGATTTCGGCTCAGGTCAGGATCTCATGGTTCATGAGTTCGAGCCCCACATTGGGCTCTGTGCTGACAGTGTGGAGCCTGCTTGGGATTGTCTCTCCCTTCTCTCTCTGCCCCTACCCTACTTGCTCTCTGTCTCTCTCTCAAAATAAATAAACTTAAAAAAATGTTTTGATTTCATATAGGAGCTTTCACTGTATGTTCCTGAATCCTAAAAACTAAGATTTTTTTTTTTTTGGTCAAAAATACCCCGCTTTTTTTCATGTAGATATTGCTGGATTAGAATCCTAGAATTTCAGTGCTGGATGGGGCCTTACAGATCCTAAGATCCTACAGCTTCTGGGGCACCTGGGTGGCTCAGTCGGTTAAGTATCCGACTTCAGCTCAGGTCATGATCTCACGGCTCATGAGTTTGAGCCCCATATCAGGCTCTGTGCTGACAGCTCAGAGCCCGGAGCCTGCTTCAGATTCTGTCTCCATCTCTCTCTGCCCCTCCCCTGCTCGCTCACTCTCTCTCTCTCAAATATAAAATAAGAAATATTTTAAAAATTAACAATGAATCCTACCGCTTCATTTTATGGGTAAGGAAACTGAGGTGCAACAAGGTGAACTCATCGCCCAAGTTTACACAGTAGCCAGTGCCAAGGTCTAGGTAACACAGCTCTGCACCCTTGGTGAGGGCACGGAGAGCAAGGAGGGGTGGGCACCTGGCCTGAGAAATCGGAGCCAAGCCTTGAGGGATGAGATACTTTGGTCCTGGCATGTTCAAGACAGCCTCCCCTTACCCCCTGCACTCCATCGTGGCCGCCTGCCCTCCATGCCAAATGAAGCTGATAGAGGAAATTCTCACGGGAGGGCTCTTCAAGATCCGTTAAGAAAATTTTCTCTTGTTTACAGCAGAGTGCATCCTAGATGCAATGCCAACAGGGTTTGCTTCTTTGTTTATTTTAACCAAGAAGGGAAATTAGTGGCAAAAGAATATTTTGATAATGAATGGAAAGTTAGTCATGACATTCTTGAGGGGGGAAAATATAAATAAACTTTTTTTTTTTTTAATGAGAGCTGTCTCAACGAATGATAGGATTCATGAGTCTCAACCAGGGTGAACAGACACTTGGGGTGCCTGGAGCACCTCCTGTGGGTTTCTGCTTTTCCCATGCACATAGTAGAAGCCTTGGGGGCAGGGGGAGTGAGGTGTGTGTGTGTGTGTGTGTGTGTGTGTGTGTGTGCCTGTGTATATGTCTGTGTGTGATCTCCTAAAGCAATCCTTATTAATGGAAAGGTTTTTAAATATTTGCAAACGGATCTCCGAACTTTGTAGAACACAACGGTATCTATTTCAAAACAACCTGGGAGTATTTGGTGTCTATTTGGGCCTGGTAAATTTCCACTGTGGCTAGTGCCACACAGCGTTTCCATTCCAGGCCAACTCACTTCAAGTGGCATGATTTGATTAAGCATTTCTTCACTTTTAATTGCATGCCAAGGCCCCAGGGCATCATTTGTTGGGTGGCCCTGAGTGGGCTGGAGTGGGGGCGGAAAGACATGTCAATCTAGAAAGGTTTGCGCCTGACTTGTTCTCGGGTGTAATTTTGTCCTGTACCTGGCAAGCCCTTCCCGTTATTATGAACAGGCCTGTCTTGGCCGATGGTGGTTTTCGACGGTTCGTGGCAAGGAGCATCCAGGGGAGAGCCTGCTCCTGAGGAGCTCCCGGCCTGATGGAAAAGAGGGGAGGGCATCACACTGCACTTGGCTGAACGCCACTCACCACCTGGGAAATTATATCCCTAAGCCACCCACTTGCAAACTCTATCACCACAGTATTTTAGAAGAGAGTTGTTTAATAACATCCAAAAAAAAAAAAAAAGATCTTAACCTCCAAGCATAGTCTACGCCTCTGTGAAATGAGGTAATGCTACGACCTCATGGGGTTGAGGTGGGTGTTAGAAATATTGTAGACCAAGTCCTGGAACATGGTGAAACTCTGCAAAGCATATTTATAGCTGGCACCCTGGCCTGTCACAGTATCTATTATCCCCATCCTCCCTCTGAAAAGAACGCCTATAGCGTTCAGATATCTGCCCCACTCCCATGTAGCTGTGAGGCCAGGCCAGGGCCTCGGGTCGGAAGGAGCCCTCCATTCTCAGTGGCCAGTGATTTCCTCAGGACACCCTCCCTGCAACACAGTGATGGCCAGTAAGTAATGAACAGAACCTGCAGGTGGGGGTACAGTGAGGCAGGAATGGGAGAGAAAGTCACATTCCCCAGGATGCTATTTCTCAGGTTGATGTTGCCATCTTGAAACTTGAGGATGAGGCCAATTTCCAAGGATGACAAGGCATAGAGAAGGAAAGAGATGGGCTCCTAGAGAACAATCCATGTTGCCAACCAAATACGCTCGATGTGCCTGGTCTTCTCCAAGTCTTCTCCAGCTGGAAATCTCCTTTGCCCTTCCACGAGTGAGCTGCCCCCTCCCACTAGTGAGCCGTCCCCCAACTTGTGAGCCATCCCTCCCACTCAGGAGTGACTCTCCCACTAGTGAGTGACCCCCTCAACTAACTAGCCATTCCCCCACTAATGAGTCACCCCTCTACTAGTGAGCCATCCCCCAGTAGTGAGCTGTGCCTGACAAAAGCGCGGTGATTCGTCCTTCTTCACAAACAGGAGCCTGAAGGGGAGACATGCACAGGTTGGGAGGGTTTTCTGGACTTTCCCAGAAAAGTGGGAGCCGGGAGGCTGGAATGAGAACCCCAGCAGAGGTGGGAGC